TCTTCTCCAAAGATCCCAGGTTACAGATGGGGGAGAGGAGTGAAAATTAATTTGCAGAGAAGCAGCTCATTACATGACCATTTTAAGTAACACCCAAATTCTTGGGCAAACATGGATCATGGATTGAGCTTTTAATGAGTATGAATGCTGCAAAGTAGGATTTCAAGTATTCTAAAGTTAAATGCTAAAAGTGCTTTGTTTCCAATAACTGAAGTGCTAGTTATTTTGGAATTAAAATATAACTGCTAATACAAAGTAGTCAAGATTATATATGTGCCTTTCCACCATTGGTTCCTATGAATTAAAATTAGTCCAATCAGCCAGGTCAGAATGACCATCAGATTATCAGTCAACACTTAGACCATCCTTCATGTCTAAATCCAGTTTATACAAGTTTCTACACTCAAACACTTTTTTTTGGAACTTCATAAGCCGATAATAGTAACATACAGAACAAACTATAACCTAGAAGTCTGGAAATTGGCAATGTCTTTCAATGCTCTTTTGTGAGTGTTAAAGTTACAACTTAAAATTACAGGTATACTACCACTTGAAGCGATACATAATTACACTGTGCTTACACCAAATTCACATATACAAGAAAGGCAGAATAGATGGTGATTATTCACCTTGCCAAAGGATATCCCATTAAATGTCTTTAAATAGCTCATCTATGACAGAATATGGCTTCTTCATAAAATCATGTATACCTAGTACTTTTTTAAAGATTTTTAATTAATTAATTTATTTATTTGAGAGAGCAAGAGAGACAGAGACAGAGAGAGAGAGAAAAAGGGTGCGTGCAAGTTGGGGGAGGGGCAGAGGAAGAGACTCCTCAAGCAGATCCCCGCTGAGGGCAGAGCAGGACTCCAGGGGCTCCATCTCACGACCCATGAGATCATGAACTGAGCCAAAACCAAGAGTCAGACACTTAACCAAGTGAGTCACCAGGCACCCCTATTTTATTTTATTTTTGAAGTAATCTCTACATCCATTGTGGGGCTCAAACTTACTACCTTGAGATCAAGAGTAGCACTAAGCCTGCCAGGCGCCCCAAGTAACTTTCTTTTTAATTAACAAATGACATTGAAAATAGTACTACCAATAGTATCACATTAGTTGCCATCTCTTCTTACAAAGACACCAAAACACTGCCATATGTGTTATCTTTTTCTTTCTGCTCTCAGTGGGATTGGTAGTTTAACATCTTGCCACCACAATGTTGCTTCTTTTCAGTGATGGGAAACTGAGGGATTAATAGACTTGTCAACAGTCACAAAACAAATTTACAACAAAACTGAAGCTTACTCTTGATCTCAAGTTTTCTCCAATTAGGCAATGCAGATTTATTTAATTTTATCCCAACTGGTCACAACTAATGTGTGTGTGTGTGTGTGTGTATATATATATATATATATATATATGTAATATAATTACTAATAGATTTTCTATTGAAGTTGCCCTACATTGCAGTATTAAGCTAGATTTCAGAGCCACATAATATTTTAGATTCTAAATTAAGTGTCATAATAGAAGAAAACAGGCTTTAATAGGACATTATATTTATTATTAGTTCAAAATGCACCATTATCTTCCATCAGGTTGCTATATTTTGCCTGAACTTCAAAGATCTTTGGGACTCAAGGGAATCTTCACTATTAAAAAAGACACTGTTGTTTCATAGTATATCAAACTTTAGAAGACTATCTAATAGAACTTTTCTTAAATGTGAAAATTTTACACACTTCATTTGCTCTCAAGTGATGAAAAGATTATGCATCTCAATCAGATGTTTTCTTTCATAAAAGTATTTATGGAATTTCACTAGGCTTAGTCTTCTTTCATTACAGTTTTTTGTTGTTGTTGTTGTTTTGTTTTTGTTTTTTACTTTTCAGATAATATTACACAATGGCCTCAACTGCAAGAGGTTATTAGTAAGATATGGTTCCAGAAATGGAATCCCAGGAAAATCATAGTAATAAATCAAGTGCTACTTGTTTAGACAGCTGATATTTATTTCTAGCAAATGCTTTTTGGAATCTGAAAACTAGTCCTCCATTTTGTATTTTTCTAACAATTCGGTGATAAAAATATAGAAAGTAAACATAAGCTATTTCTAAATCCCAGAAAAAGTTGTTGGCTAGGATACAGGCTGTTCAATTCTTAATGCACACAGGGAGGGCTCAATAAATGTCACTAACTGATAGTATTAATGCTAAAGGACTACTTCTCTTAGGTAGGTAGTTGCTTAAGTTCTCCTGAAAATATGGTTTTCTTTTCTCTACCCCAGAGTATTTAGATAATGTGCTATTACTATCTTAAATGTATTATATACTTGCTGAGAAAATAAAAAAGGTTTTCTTGAGTATCTACAGTTCACATTCCAGGATCTTGTGACTATGAAACAATTTACCATCTGGTACTGATATGGTTAGATAATAACCTAGTAGAATTTGGAGTATGATACTCTGAAAAGATGAAATCCTGCTATAGTAGTTGTGTGTTTGGTTTGGTTTGGTTTTGGTTTTCTTGGTCATCAGTGGAAACCGTCCTTAGTTTCTAAGTTGCTGCAATTGTTTTTTCTTTCCCCCTGCATTGTTCTTCCTAAACATACCTCCCATACATGGCTTTAAAATAAGTCTTTGAGGGAAGTACCAGATGTAGGACAGTCAAGTTGGGTGCTCTGGAGCAGTAATCAAGGATTCCCACAGTTTCCACATGTGGTTTTTGGGTGTAAGCATGGAGCCAGGATACTTGCATTAAGACCCTTGGTCTTGAGGTTTGGGACTCCAGAGATCTCTCCAGTTCCAGTGAGTTAGGCTACCATGTTACTTATTGTCAACTTTCCACACACACCCAGAGCGTATATACTGACTGGTACATCTTGTTTCCTATCATTTTAATTAGTTATGTGGAGGCTTTTAATCCTTTGTGGGCCAACCATGAATTACATAGTTGTGTAGTCTGATGACAGTTCTATGATTTTTTTCCTCTGTAAAATGGTTTCAAACCTATTTGTAACAACCAGAATTTTTGTCATTTCTTCATAGCAGTTTTATGCAATAAATTCTTTACATTTCTAAGGAGCAAATGTATAAGAGAAGCTAGGGCCTTTAAGACTTCTGGAAAACTTACTTTCAAGAGAACTATTTTATTCACACAGAAATCCTTAAAAATATAAACAAAACATTTTAACTTTATACATCTTATTTTAGGCTAAGATGTCTTTTAACATCTTTAACCCCATTCTTACCAAAAATATAGCCCACTTACTGATCTCTTCTAAATTATCTTTATCATTATTTTCATTTCATAATAAATCCTTAATGTGTTCTTTAAGGAGAAATCATCTTACAGATTACTTTAGATTTTTCCTTTGTGTGATTTAAGATCATCATAACAAGTAATCAAGAAGTTTATGTAATAAGATAATGTAATGAGGCAAGCAGGCATCTTATACCTGTTTTTCCAAAATTGATCACCATTTTTAACAATATGGTAAATCAAAGTTAAATTAAGCTTTCGTAAGTTGATATTGGATTTAACCAGTTGATCTAACTTATTAATGGAAAATATCTCTAACAATTACCAAAATTACAGATTTAGAAATGAAACATTCCTTTAGCTATCTCTGCCACAATAGCAGCATAATGTTACACTTTGTTCCTTTACTCTCTCCCATCTTCTTAAGAAACAGGGATGTTATTATGTGGTCTTATTTCACATCCTGACCTCGTTTACTTGGGTTTGGAGGACATGGTTTCTACTAAGGTTAAAAGACATGTGTCTGTATGTTATTTACAACTAAGGACCTAAAAATTTTCAGTAAACTGTCATTATCAAAACATCCTTTGTCATAAAAAGTATTTCTACTCATCAAAGATTAGAGAACTGAGTATAATGATTAACTGATTTATGTAAGTCATAATGACATGACTGCTAAAGCTGTGATACGAAATCTTGATTTCCCCTCAAGATTTCTTGGATTTTACATACATGATGTATTAGTGTGTCAAAGTTCAAGAGCCACCTTCCCCACTTTTTTTTTTAACTGTTTAAGAGAATGGCCTTACCACTTTCTTTTGCCAGAAAGTAACAAGATGATAAAATCTCCAGTACTTTATAGCTGCTCTCTGTACTGGGAGAGGAAAGGGTGCTTTCTGACTTGTTCTGGTTGTTCATGGCCCAATTCAAACCACGTAACACTCTGGCTCCAACTAGGAGTTTTAGAATAAACAAAAGAAAGAACTATAACTAACGCAGTAGGTTCTACATTTATGGAGCCCATAAGCTGATTTCGTGCTGAAAGTAAAAACAGTCTCAAGAGGTTAAATGAACTCTTCGATGCTGAAATCACAGCAAATTCAGGAAAATGAGGGATATGTTGGTAACCTCTAATCTTTTTTTAAACTGACCTCACCCTGGGCAAGTAACCATCTCCTGATGCCATTGTTGGAGACAGAATTTCTGGCTGAAAGATCAGTTTTCTGACTCAATCTGGCTTGCTATTCTTGGTTAATCATCCGCATTTCTCTCAATATTTCACTCCTCTGACTACAGTGGTCAACATTTATTTTCAGAAGACTTTTTTTAAGTGATTCGCTTCCTCCATTGGTCTCCCTCTTTATCCTAACTCTCCCTAACCCCCATTTCTATCGCCCTTGTTTCTCTAAGATTTTGTTAAACATTAGACACAGCACATGACCTCCATCCAGTCTTCCAGCGTCTCGGAACAAAACCGGTTGGCGCGGTTGTAAGCTTCTCTAGGGTTGGAATTTAAGAGTCTTCAGCTCTCCAACTCTTAAAGACCTACAGCGTAAATTTTAAATTTAAAAAATTTTAAATAAAAAAACCGCCCCCCTTTTTTAACCTTTAGTCCCGCCCACCGTCTCCCTCCCCCCCCCCGCAGCCTCCACGCGAAACTGCAGGAAACCGGAGGGGGCGGGGCGGTGACGTCACGACGCCGGTGCGTCACGGAACGGCGGCGGCTGCGGCGCTGGCGGTGGCTGCGGCAGCGGCGGCATTTTAGTCGACAGCGGCGGCGGCAGCGGGGCCGCTGCTCCTCCCAGCATCCCTGGCGCGGCCATTTCAGCCCCATCTTGGCCGAGGGGAGGGAGCTGCAGCCGCCGCTTCAGCAGTTTGAATTTCAGTTTCTCCAGGGTCTGCGAACCGGGCGCACCGAGGAGGAGCCGAAAAAGCTACCACCGCTACCTCACACAGCCGGAGCGCTTCCGCTCGCCGGCCAGCCAGGCGGCTGCCGCCACCACCGCCGCCGCCCCTCACTCTTCTCAGGAGCCGCGAGGGGAGGCCGAGACCGCCGCCGCCCGCGGGGTGGCTCCCCCTGTAAGGGGAGGACCGAGCCGGCTTTCCCCTCCCCCGGAGCGGGTTTCCGCCAGAGACAGTCGACATGTCCCTGGGGCTGAGCTCCGGCTAAAGCCGGGGAGGGGGCCGCCCGCCCGCGCCGAAGCTCCGCCGCCCGCCCGCGGGACCTTCAGCCAGCCCCAGCCCGCGGCTCCTGGCTGAATCAGGAATCCCCGGCGCCAGACTCGCCACTCCTTCCCCTTCTTCCCTCAGCGTCCGAGAGCCCAGAGCTGACGCCGGCACTGGCCTGAGGAGCCCGAGCGGGGCAGCACCGCCCCTCACGCCGCCGCCGCCGCCGCCACCACCACCACCTCCTCCTCCCCTTCGCCCTCCCACTCCCACCCCCAGCCAAGGCCTGCTGACCGCGCCGAGCGCCGAGCTAGACTGACCACGGCGGCCCCGGAGACGGGAGGAGGAAGCAGGCGGCCCGCCCCTGGGATCGCGCTCGCGCTCGCGCCGCCGCTGAGGGGATTGAATTGAGGCGCCGCGGCTGCGGGAGGCGAAAAGGAAGGAGGAGCCGCCGCGCGAGTGCGACGGGGGCAGAGCCGTAGAGATCGACTCAGAAGGAAACGGGGAGGAGGATGTCTCACAGAGCGGCCAGCGTCCGGATCAGCCAGTGACTCTTAACAGCGGCGGGCCTCAGACCCCAGCGCGGACTCGGACTTTGTCTTTGGGGGCCCCTGCTCTGCCCTTCCTGGTTTCCGGCAAGATCGCAGAGGAGCCGGCGTGCCTCTCTGCCCTCCAGCCTTCCTCACCATGTCCAAGATGCCGGCCAAGAAGAAGAGCTGCTTCCAGATCACTAGTGTCACCACGGCTCAGGTGGCCACTAGCATCACCGAGGACACTGAGAGCCTGGACGACCCGGACGAGTCACGTACAGAGGACGTCTCCTCCGAAATATTCGACGTTTCTCGGGCCACGGATTATGGCCCTGAGGAGGTCTGCGAGCGCAGCTCCTCCGAAGAGACACTCAACAATGTTGGGGATGCAGAGACTCCCGGGACCGTCTCTCCAAACCTCCTCCTGGACGGGCAGCTGGCGGCCGCGGCGGCTGCTCCCACCAACGGAGGAGGAGCCCTTTCGGCCCGGAGCGTGGCTGGGGCGCTGGCCAGTACCCTGGCGGCGGCCGCCACCTCGGCCCCCTCTTCGGGGGCACCCGGCGCCCCCCCGGTCACGGGCTCGTCTGCCGGGCCAGGGACCGCAGCCCCATCACAGCCCCCCACCACTTGTAGTTCCCGTTTTCGCGTGATCAAGCTGGACCACGGGAGCGGGGAGCCCTACCGCCGCGGCCGATGGACGTGTATGGAATACTATGAGCGGGATTCAGACAGCAGCGTCCTGACCAGGTCTGGGGATTGCATTAGGCACAGCAATACTTTTGACCAGACTGCGGAGCGGGACAGCGGCCTGGGCGCCACCGGAGGGTCGGTGGTGGTGGTGGTGGCCTCCATGCAGGGGGCGCACGGGCCCGACTCGGGAACTGACAGTTCCTTGACTGCTGTGTCACAGCTACCCCCGTCGGAGAAAATGAGCCAGCCCGCCCCGGCCCAGCCGCAGAGTTTTGGCGTTGGGCAGCCACAGCCACCGCCGCCCGTAGGTGGGGCTGTGGTTCAAAGCGCGGCTCCAGTGCCGCCGTTCCCGGGAGCCGCGGCCGGGCCTCAGCAAATGATGGCAGCCCCGCAGCCAAGCCAGCCCCAGGGAACCGGCCCCGGCGTCCTCCCGCAGGGGCCCAATGGACAGGGGCTGCCGCTGACGAATGTAACCCTGACGCAGCCCGGCGTGCCCCTGCCGCAGCAGCCGGGCCCCGCCGTCGGCGCTCCTACGACGCAGCCGCCCCAGCCGTTCGCGTACCCTCAGCTACCGCCTGGGCATTTGCTGCCAGTCCAGCCCGCGGGTCAGAGTGAGTACCTACAGCAGCACGTGGCCGGACTGCAGCCGCCAAGCCCCGCGCAGCCCTCGTCCACCGGCGCCGGAGCGAGCCTCGCCACGGCTGCCAGCCTTCCAGTGGGCACCGGCCCGAATGCCTCCTCGGTGGGTGCGCAGATAATGGGCGTGTCTTCCTTGCCCAGTGAAGCCGTGGCCCCGGGGCCGGGACCCGCGCCAGGCGGACAGGCCGCGCCTGGTCAGCCGGCCGGAGTGCCCTTGGCTGCGGTGGGATGCGCCGTGCCGCCGGGCCTGGTCCCCCCTGGGACCGGGCAGCCCCAGTCCGTGCCTCCGCCGCAGATGGGTGGCAGTGGTGCGCCGTCAGCCGTGCCTGGCGGCCCCCACGCCGTGCTGCCCGGAGTTCCAAACGTGCCTGCAGCCGTGCCCGCTCCAAGCGTGCCTAGTGTGTCTACCACCTCTGTTACTATGCCAAATGTACCCGCGCCTCTGGTCCAGTCGCAGCAGCTGAGCAGCCATACGCCAGTCAGCAGGAGCAGCAGCATAATCCAGCATGTTGGGCTGCCCTTAGCGCAAGGCACACCCAGTGCACCAACAAGTCTACCACAGTCTGACCTAAGCCAGTTTCAGACTCAGACCCAACCTTTAGTCGGGCATGTTGACGATACTAGAAGAAAATCAGAACCCCTACCTCAACCACCACTTTCTCTCATTGCTGAAAATAAGCCTGTTGTGAAGCCTCCTGTTGCAGATGCCCTGGCAAACCCCCTTCAGTTAACACCTATGAACAGTCTCGCCACCTCTGTATTCAGCATAGCTATTCCTGTTGATGGTGATGAAGACAGGTATGGAAATCTTACTTAAAATATTTGATAGGAGTGCTTGACCAAACATTGTAGTTTAGAATGCAACGTAAGAGTTCTTTTTTCACTTTGAGGCCCTTAGCGTTTTTAAACTTAGCTTGTGTTTAGTAAGTTTAGTTTGTGTTTAGTAAGATTGATTTGTCAGTTCTTGAAAATGCATTTGTTTAGATTGCTAATATAAAGGTGTAATGAGAGAATTGGTCTTGTCACAGCCATTTAAAAGCACTGAATTGGATAAGGACACAACATTTGTTCATTCAAAAAAGGTGGATTTAAGCTTAATTCTCTCGATTTACAGGTGGTAACTAGTAGATTAGGCCCCAGAAGATTGTCCTTTTCTTAGGTAACAATCGCACTTGAACCCTTAGGGCAGAGAGTTTTGTCAGTGTGAGTTTGGAGACTAAGACGTAAAATCAGAAGTTTCCCATTCTGGAAAACCAGAGGTCCTCTACAGTAGGGAAAGATCCATGTAAGGAATCTCCTCCAGTGTATCTGCAAAGGCTGGAGAGAGAATGGTGAAATGTCAAGTCTGGCTTTGAAGATCATATCGTCCTCCAGCCTTTTAAATAAAAGAACATGGAAGGTCAGGAGGCTTCCCAGTGACTTCGTTAAGATCCTTTTTTTTTTTTTTTTTTTTTTTGAAGTAAAAAGTGTATTGGAAAGATGTTATCTTCCATCAGTAGTTTTTTAACTATGGAAAGGGAGGTATGAAGTAAGACTCTTTGACAGTAGTAAAAGCTACAGTTCTTGAAATTAGAGTAATTTTATAGTAAAAGTGTTAACAGTTGTCAACAATTGGCTCCCTCTATTTAAGGGATGCTTTTTTAATGGTTTAAGTGAAAATTGGTGTATTGCCATTACCAATTCTACAACAGTTGATGTTTGGTTATGGTTCAGTGAGGATTTTTAAGTGGTTTTCAGGAAATGTCACAGGAAAATTTGACATGTTGCAGATTTTTAAAAACCAACTTGTTACAAAGCTTTAAAATTACATTTAAAAATTAGAAAGTTTCAGGTACTTTACAGTTAGGCATTTATTTGCTGGGTTTTTTGTTTTGAGCGAGGTTAATTTTAGATGTGTTAAAAGATAATTTTATGGATTTCTAGAATAATTGGTATGTAGAACCATGAGATCTGTTGAAGGTTTTTTCTGTTTCTTCTGAGTTCCTTCACATTCTTTTCTTAACTTTTCATTTCTAATTAGCCTTGTATTTTTGTTATATACTTCTGTTGGTTTGAAAAATGCTCACTGAAATCATCTCCTCTGCTTTTTGTAATTCAAAGTTCATATTTTTTTGTAGGTGACTTGCTTGTTGGGAGTCTTTCTTCCATTTGAGAACTCTTAGAGAATACCACGTGTCCATAAGTGAGCTCAGCTAGCTAGTCATTGAGAAATTTTATATGGATGGGACTACCAAGTAAAGAAACTGATTCCACAAGCCATTCAGAAAAATCCCTCTTTACATCTCCCATATTTCACTTTTCACACATGGGGCACACCTGAAATGCAGATTGTTTGTTTATTCATCTTTTGTAAGAGGCAACAGGTATCTTCCCTTTTCTAGCTGCCAGAAGCCAATTTTTTCTGATGGGTTGGTAAATAACCATTTGCTTGCCTCTCTGTTCCTGTTGTATATTGCCTCCATATTTCAAGAAATGATGAGTGGTTTCCCAAACCACACCCACCTCCTTGTAAAACACATGCACATCTATGAATGAAGAATGTATTTTTCTCTCCTCTTCACAACTCTTTCAGTTTACAAAATAGGCAGTTACATTCCCCAGAACTTAAATATAATGATGTGGCATGGGGCAGACAGATCCATTGACAAATGGAAACTCTGGGATGTATTCTTTAGGGTACGACCTCAAAGATAAAATTATTTATCCTCTTTATTAAAAGGTTAATAATTTTAAGAATTTATTTCGGAAGGTTAATGAGCTACAGATACTTCCGCATCTGTTCTTATCAGTTGGCAATAGTTAATCCAGTGCAGGGGTTTTGATGTGTGTGCAGTCCTATATTAAATATGGTCCTTCCCTCCCCCACCCAGTCTTCTAAAATCTGCATTACTTATCAGTGTGCTTTTCTAATTTTTGTTATAGTCTTTCATTGGTTTTTAATTTAACATGCTAGTTTTCAAGATGTAATCTTACACATTTGACTATTTTGTCACTGGACCAACACACCTGGTGAAGGAATAAATCCATTAAGTAGAAATAGTGTTTTGTTTTGTTTTTGTTTTTAATGGAAAGCCTTTGTGAAAGAGGGCATTTTAAATTGTATGCTTGAAATTAAATAACACAGTTTTTCTAGGCATATGTTTAAATTACTAAGATGACTATTTTTGAGGAAACTGTACCAACAAAAATCATACTTTTTATATGGTGATTTGGGGTTGCCTTCTTAAATTAAAATCTGCATACAATTTTAGTTGCAGTCATTCAAATGCAAAATAAAACATTGGAGTGAGAGGTTTTGAGTAATTATGACTTTAACTTTGTGAATAGGTTGAAAATTTCAGATCCTGAAAATTTTAGATCCTAAAAATTTGTAAACAGTTTGCTTTTTTTAAAGTTAATATGTTAGTAAACATAGTCTAGTTCTTTGAGAAAAGGAAGGAAAATGGAAGATTAACAAAAATGATTGAGGTTCTTTAGTTTGATATATTAAAAACCCTATCTGTGGTTTTGGCTCCATTATCTTTTACAAAGCTTCATTTTGAGATTTACTTATTTTGAAAGAAGACTTATAAATACATTTTAATAATATACCTTTAAAAGGGCTGACGGTTATATATAGAAAGCAAGAAAATGTTTTAAAGTTCAGTTAACACTGCCTGTTGACTCTATATTATTAATTGCCATAAAGTTTATATATTCTAGCCTTTCTCACTGGAAAGGCTTATAGTCGATGATTCTTCAAACGGATTTTGTGTAAACTGGAGATATAATAATGGTTGAAAATATAGTTCATAAAAAGCCACTTTTATACTGAAAGTTTAAAAATGTGTTTAAATTACGACACACTTAACAGACTCCTTTCTGGTAAATGGGGAGAGGTGCAAAATATTACTGGCCCTTTTGGAAAGGGAACACAGTACAGATCGTTTTCCACAGATAGCTGACCAGTGTGAACTCTGTAGGCCACATTCCAGGAACTCTTATGAATGGCTGCAATTGTGAACTGTCAGCTACAACCAAAAGATTGTTGAAAACCTGATTGTAAGGATCCCTTAGTGGCAAATATCTTTGTATCTTGTTAATGGTTTTATTTGTGTAGTTTGCTAATGACTACTGGTTAAGTATTACAAATTGTGAATGTTAAAGTGGTGTATCCTGGTATGTGCTATAAATACACAAATTTTGTTTGTACAGAGATATATATATGTATATATATATCTCTCTCAAATATACACACACATACTTGAGCAGGTTTTTTTAACTTGATGGTTAAGTGAGAAGATTATGTAAATGTATATTAAGAGATAGAACTGTCACTCTTAACCTTTATTTTAAAATCTATAGATACTTATTAGAGCTCTAAAAGTCTCACTGCATTTAGTCTTTACAAATGAAAGCTCCTTAGTTGAATCTGTATTTCTTGGGAGCTTATGTTTCTTTATCGATACTGAATTGTGGAGGTAATTTTGCCCTTCCAGCTTTACAGTTGACGTTTAAATCACACATTACATATTATCCTATGTACTCTTAGCAAGGATTTTTTAATCAAAGTGTGAAATCCTGTGTATGAATGACATTATTATTTAGTATAAAAACTGATAATTGATGGATTCATCAGAGTGCCAGGCTGATTACTAAAATATACTTTAGTCATGAACATGGCTCTAAGTAAAGGAAATTATCATAGATTTCCAAAAGATGGATGGTCCAAAAGTGTATCAGTAGGGAGTATGGCGCCTTTTTTTTTTTTTTTTTAACAGTGCCATATATATTGTTCAAAATTTTGTATGAACTAAATTCTCTAGGCTGAACATTGGTAACCTTTAGTAAACATAAGAGCTTATATGTGTGTGGGTAAGATACATACTATGTTAGTAACACTATCTTTTCCTTGTAGGGGAAGTAGGGTATCTTGAACTAAATTGCTTTTATGAGAAATCATTTTTTTATAGTACGGATACTGTGGTATATATGTTTTCTACTTCCTGAGAATAAGTGTAATGTTAATCTGTTCTTTGAGAATTCTGATAGCACTAATTTGGAAATAGTAAAATGTGATAGTGGATTCATGGATCTGGTACTTGCTAATTTGGAATAGAGTTTAGTCCTTCTGTGCACCAGAAGAGATTGGAAGTAGTCATGGGCTTTAGTGTTCTAGTAACAAAGAGCACCCCCAACAATCAGATGGTAAAGAAACCAAAATTAGTCTCTTTATTGAGGAATGATTGTTAGGGGAGTATAAAAAGATCTTGACTTTTCTTACCTAAAATAGCAGAAGTTGGGGCGGGAGGAGGTAGAGGGTGATGGCAGGTAACCAAGACAGAAAAACATACAGTGAAATGACATGAAATATGGTTTCAGAAGGAATAGGAATACTTGTTACTAGTGAAGAAAAGGCATCTAATTCCTTTTTTAAATAATTGTTTTAGACCAGTATGTATTTCCTTTTTGAACAGATACTGTTTATTTCTTAATTGCATTACTCTTTAAATATTCTTTAAGTATGAGGAAGAGAGGGTTTATAAAAACAGATTTGTCTGGTTAAATGTAGCCTGAATGATGATGTTCCCTAAGTAATTTCTTACTAATGGGAAGAACAGATTTCTAATTTAAAAAACCTTAATAGTTAACAGTATTTAAGGGGTATGTGTAGCAAAATTCCTGAATTGGAATAAATCTCTTAACTTAGTTCTTTATACTAAACCAAGTGGACTTGTGATTTGAGGCTGCTCTTTTATATGGTATAATAAAATTACTGTATCCACAAAGAATGTGCATACCTGAATCATTGGTATAAT